TTGTTTGTAGCTTAGCCTGCTAACTGCTGTGTGTTTGTAACTTAGCCTGCTAACTGCTGTGTGTTTGTAGCTTAGCATTCTAACTGCGGTCTGTTTGTACTTTAGTATTTTGTAAATAAAACCTTTTTTTTAGACGAAAACCCTTCTATCAAACTGGGATGGACCAGTCTGGAAGTTGGAGGGGGGCAGGGCGTAAGGCGCCTCGTTTGGATTTAAAGAGACAGCATCAAATGTTAAATGTAGTGTGTTTGAATGTAGCGATTAGTTTATTTTCAGGCTGTTTTCAGTGAACTCAGCAGCAACAGGAGTGATGTTTGTGTGAATATAAAAGCTTTTATTGTCCATAATGTTTGTGTTCCTCTGTTCCCTGCAGATGTTCAGCACACAGTGCAGATTAAAGAGGAAGCTCCTGAAGACCAGAGTCCTGGTGTGGACCAGCAGGACCCAGAGCCCCTCCACATAAAGGAGGAAGAGGAGGAGCTCTGGGACAGTGTGGAGGAAGAGCAGCTCAACGTGATCGTGGTGTTTCCTCTGAAGAGCGAGGATGATGAGGAGGAGGCACTGTCCTCACAGCTTCATCAGCACCAAGTGGAAAACAGAGACGTTCCAACCAGCAGCTCAGCTGACCTGATGACTGGAGAAGCTGATGGAGGAGCAGAAACCTGCAGGAACTCAGGTCTAAACCCTCATGGAGACACTTCCAGCTCCTCAGTGAATGAAGTCAGTGAGGATGAAGAAGAGGATGAGGATGGAGACAATCATGTGAAACCTTTATCAGAGTCTGAATCAACAAATGAAGACAGTAAAAAAGACTGGAAGGAGAGCAGAGCTCCTGAGTCAGGTGGAAACAAACCGTTCAGCTGCTCTGAGTGTGGGAAACGATTTGTCCACAATCGCTCTCTTCAGCGACACCTGAGCTGTCACTCAGCAGGAAGCTGTTTGGGTCATGGAGAGAAGAGACGTGTAGAGTCACACAGAAAAGAAGAAAGAGGATTAAAACCATTCAGTTGTGATGAATGTGAAAAAAGATTTAACAGTAATACGAAACTAATTGTACACATGAGAGTTCACACAGGAGAGAAACCATTTAATTGTGACGTTTGTGGACGAGGGTTCAGCCAAAAGGCACATTTAAATACTCACATGAACGTTCACACAGGCGAGAAAGAATTCGGTTGTGATGTTTGTGGACAAAGATTTAATCGAAAAACAAATTTAAACACGCACATGAGAGTCCACTCCGAACAGAAACTGTTTCAGTGTGACGTCTGCGGACAAACATTCAGACAAAAGACCAATTTAAACGCACACATGAGCATCCACACGGGAGAGAAGCCGTTCGAGTGCGAGTTTTGTGCGCAAAGGTTTAGCCAAAAGGCGTATTTGAACGTGCACATCAGAGTCCACACAGGACAGAAACCGTTTGAATGTGAGGTCTGCGGGCAGCGGTTTACGCAAAAAACAACTCTGAACTCTCACGCGAAGATCCACACGGGACAGAAGTCGTTCGTCTGCGACGCTTGTGGACACAAATTCAGACAAAGGAAAGATTTGAACTCGCACATACGCACCCACACGGGACAGAGACCCTTCGCTTGCGAGGTCTGTAAGAAAAGATTCAGCCAAAAGACGACGCTGAACAGACACATCAAAGTCCACACGGGACAGAAGGACTACGTCTGTGAGGGCTGCGGACGAAAGTTCAGCACCAAACAAAATTTGAACACGCACATGAGGAGCCACACGGGGAGAGGAGATGGTTCAGCTGTGAAATCTGAACCGAGTCCGACAGAAAACCAGGACTGAAGAGAAACTACATGGTTGCAGGTTGTTGGGAATAACCAGGTTTCTGTTTGTAAACCCACTTTTCTCCTGTTCTGGTGCTTTTTGATTTTAGACTTTGTTCTTACAGGTCCAACACACAAACTGTAGTACTAAAAGATCAAATATATAATCTATGGCTACGTTCACACTGCAGGCAAATCCAACCCAAATCCGATTTTTTTGACCCATCTGACTC